ATAATAGCTTACTCTAACTTTTTTCAATTTTTCTACCTGGATTATTGAGCATGCATCAGGAAATAATAGTTTACCTGTTGCAGATAGCTCTTTGTTTGACCTCAGTTTGGAGAAATGAGTTTTATTCTGATCAGACTGATGAGCTACAGTAATTGCTGATCTATCAGGACAAAGGAATATTGTATTTCTGGTGTAAGGTTTAATAAAATGATGTTAGATTAAATCGCTGTTAAAATTTTGAGATTAGAGTTCAAGACTTTGGTCCTGGATTTGCTCTACCAATCAGCTCATCATTCTGGTCAGAATTAAACCATTTTCCTCCAAACTGAAGCTGTTCAAAGAGCTGTCTATTACAAATAAGATATTAACTGCTCATAAAATTTTCACAAAGTCCCACTTAGGCCTGTCACGATAACAAATTTTGCTGGGCGATTAATTGTCTCAGAAATTATTGCGATAAACGATAATATTGTTTGAAATTTGACAATAATTAGTAATTATAATCAAATTTAAGAAGAAATGTTGGTTAATTTTTGTATGTAGTACCTTTTTTGACCACTGGATGGCAGTACAAGACTGTTTGCACTAAAGGATGGATAGCGAGGGAGCCAGCAGTGTGTCTCTGTAAGAAAAATGGGACGGAGGCCCCTTGACGTGACATGGGCTGTCTCTCCTTCCTGTTTTTCGGTTCTCAAAATGGCGGACGCTCGATGTGATTTGAGCTCTTTAGCATAGCATTTGTCACACAAAGCTTTTAATTTTAAAAAATATCAGTCAACAAGTTCTCAGCTTCTTTTTGCAGAGAAAAACAACTTTTTACATGAAGGCACCGGTTTCAACTGCGAATTTTGGAGCTTCGACAAGATGGAGATTTTTTTCCCAAGGTCAGCCTGTTAGCTTAGCTCGTAGCTTAGCTTCTCAGCTATTTTGGACGGTCAAATGGATTTTAAAGAAAAAAGAGAAAGGGAGGGGATCAGTGAAGAGCACCGGAGTTGAGCCTTTTATCATCCAGCGTCTTCAGTAGAAAGAGAGAGACACAAAGAAATTATAAAGCCGATAAATGAAAATGAGGTCAATAATTTTCATTTATCATGAGATCAATTGATTTATCGTTTATTGCGACAGGCCTAGTCCCACTTTAACAGATCTGAAATATAAGTTTAGGAGCACAGATTACATTCTGTTTATCTAAGACCACATCTTGGTCAAACAGATTCCACAATTTTTATAAAAATGTTGGCTGACATATATTTTAAATTTGAGCTCCCATGTAGTATGTTTAAATAAAAAACTTCTCATTTGTTTCTATTTGTTATAGGAGCACAGTTTGAGTCAAATCACAGTGTTTGTGTCGGAGTGCATTGAATCTTCCATGCAAAACACGGTGATGTATCAAGAGGTAAAAATTGTACAGTAGTAAACTACTTCAGAGAGCATGTACAGTATATAAACATTCTGTGTAAGTGATAAATTATTATATTTATCTACTCCTTTGTACTTTGTATTTGGATGGGGAAAAAACACTATAAACCATTAATTGCATGCTAAACCCTACTCCCCCTTCTGGTTTAATGATGCATATAATAACCAAATCTCAAAATCAAAACTGTGTTCCTGTTTTACGTCCCTGATCGATAAATCAGATGGTCTTTTATTCTATCCACCTAAACAAGAAAAGGTTTATAGAAATGTATTTAAAAATTTGGTGCAAAATTCAAAAACAACATTGCAATGTTTCAACCAACAGCCTTACACACTTTTGCTAAAGGTCTAAATTCATAAAGTAATTTGTTTAATTGAATTTACACATTTAAAAAGCTAGAACAAATAAAAAACAGTCTTACATTAAGCTTAACTTCAAAGTCAAAATGACACATCTTCAGAACATGTGGGTACATTAGTTAGCTAAGAATGCTAATGTTAGCATAAGTTACTTGTTTCTCTGACCAATTGAAAGGTTCCTTTCTTCATATATATATATATATATATATA